TTATTTACAATGCCTAGTCTCCTTGAGTACAAGCAGATTTGAAAATTCTTTCAGGTTCTCTTGATAAAATAAACTGATATATCCAATACGATTTATATTTACGTATGTAAATCAAACCAATATGTGTCTAAACCACACATGGAGTAACTTAGTCCAACTGTTTCAGAGCTGGTTGAAAGGATATGGGATAGAGGTACACAGAGATACCTTTCTATCACTTTTTTCCTAAGATCACTGCTAATTATGGTAACAAGTGAATAAACTCTTGATTTCAGTGTTTTCTGACAGCAGTGTGAGACAGCGTGTAGATCTGATACTCAGTTTGTGACATTCTTATCCATCTAGATTTATTATTTGCCTAATTCTGCAGCAGATTTGACTTGAGACTATCAGAGTTTGAAACTGAAACGAAAATTCACTCTGCCATTTTAATAGGTATTTACCTTCATTTGTGTTCTTGTTATGATTTAGTGTAGTTAATGTTTTGCAGATGAGTTGGATAGGGTATATTTCATATCTAATGTGGAGACATTGATGATTCCATTTGAAATGATGGCTACTTGTATTACTGATAGCGTTACATTTGAATAATTTAGTCCATAATTCATATTTTCATTTTTACTTTAGCATTTGAAAGCTCAATGTTGCTGCTGCAACTCAGATTGACATTTTGGTTTTACAGCTTTAGGATTTCTCTTTTGTTATTGTGGAGCTAATGGAGGATTTTTTCATTTTAAGCTCACAAACTCAACCAAAATACAGGACGTGATCTTGTGATCAAGAAATCGTATTTTTTTTCTTTAGCTTCTGCTACTAGTATCATTTAGATCTTTAACATTAGTAAGAGCTAGACATGGAATTCAGGCCTTGGTCCACGGAACTGGCACATGGCTTCTTATTAATGTTCAAAGGCTAAAAATCTGAAGCCATTTTGAACTCAGAACCCATCATGTATTTATTTCCCTCTCTAATTTGCAGAAAACTAGTTGTGAAAACAGCCCGAGGGACCTGATATTTTTCCATCCCAGCTGCTCCAGCTGAACTACAGCTGCAAAAAAAAAAAAAAAAAATCTAAGTATTGTTTCTATAAACTGTTGAGTGTATTTTATAACACAATAATTCCCACAAAATCAGTAACTGCAGTTAATGACCGGTTTGTTAAGGCATTAACTGCCCTCAGCTGGGAATGACCAATTTCTCTGGAATGGCTGTATAAGAACTAAGGATAATTCAGTAACACTTTCAAATAATTATTTGGTTAATTAATGGTAAATTCTTGTGGAAATCCTATCAAAGTATTCGTGACCCCCACATTTAATATCCAATGAGTTCATTATGATTCATGTTTTATTGCCATAAATACCAGAAGAATCCATAATGACTAGGCCATTATTTTCCAGGGCTGCCCTTACTGCTTTAGGCCATTTGGCTATTCCACCTTCAGTCATAAAAAGCTTGATGCTCAAAACTACCAACATTTGTAGGCCACAATTTTCTGGCACCCCACCAAAACTTTGGTGATTTTTATGAACACGTTTGGCAGAGATCTGTTTTTTCTTTTCTTTCTCTTGCTTTTTCTAGTTAGGGGAATAATTGATGCCTACTGTACCAAGTCATAAGGAAGTCTTCCTTGCAGTGTCTGCTTTTTCATGTGTGGCCTTCAGTATTAGTCAAAAATAGCAGAAAAGGTATCACTTTAATGCTTTGGAAAGCTGTTCTCCAGCCAGATACTGGGCAGGGTTTGAAATTTTTACAGCCAAGTCTCTAAACAATGATTGACTTAGGGCTTTATTCATTAGCATTCAGATGAGTGTAAAGTAATAAAAAAAAAAAGCTTGGTACTGGCATATTCAAGTAATAGTCAATAGTTGCCCAGTTATGTTTTTGGGAGTGAAGTCCCTATGTAAAAGCATGGCAGTTGGCTTACTGGATTTTTCAAACAGTCTGTCACTTCTTACCCTTTTATACAGTCTTCAGCCTGCAAGATGATGCTTAGTGTTTAAAATCCTGTAGACGTTGAATCTGTTCTCCTCCTAATCTTCAACAAACTAATTACACAGTTTCCAGTCAACTTTCCAATAGGCTGTATGCTTCCTAATTGAGCACAAGACTAACAATTGCATTAAATCATGCTGGCTGTCCTCAGAAACAACCACCACCTCTTGATTTTCCTGAAGCGTTTGATTCTTTGGATCATGAGTTGCCACTGTTTCGCATGAGAACTGAAAAAAGTCAGGAGGTTCTGCTTTTTCTCCACCAAAGTGCTTCCATAGGGAGAATGGGACAGTGAAACTTCCAAACATCAGCCTGAAAATTGTTCCTTTCTGGGAAATGAAAATGAAATGAAACTTAAAATGCATACACCATTAAATACTTAAAAGCTGATTTAGTTGCACACTGTTATATTTTAGCTTTAGTTCTGTAGTTTATTTTCATCTTCAAGTTAGTAGAATTCAGGGTTTTTTCTATTTACTTGCAATTGAAAAATATTTCCTTGCTGACCCTGTGCAATAAGTCCCTGTGACTTAAATGCTCTAAACACTTCTCTGTTCCCTGTGTTGACAGTAGGACAGGGGAATTCAGGGAAAATGGGTCATTTAACTGCACAGCAAGAAGGAATTTAAATTCTAGTCATCTTTTTGAAACTATAGGTGTCTTTGCCTTTTGTGTGTCATGAAATCTGCTTTATGGAACACACTCTGGGAGAATGATTTAAGTGCTAGTCATTAAAAACCAACTCTTTAAGAGTTCATTCAGATAAATTTATTTGAATTCTAGATATTCTTCACACTTTAGGTTTAGTATCTAGGTCTTTTTGCTTATTTTTGGTAGTTTAGAAACTGCAGCAGTGCTGTCATTCAACACTGATACCCAAGGTGTTTTTCAGGCATCAGAAAGGTTATTGTGACAGGCTGGACCTTTGACAAAAGGGGAGAGACAATTATGCAAAGAGTTTATTCTCAAAAAACAGAAGGCCTTTGCTGCTATAGTAGGCTATTTTATTTGAAAATAAGCTACCAGTACTGCCAAATACCAGGAAGCTGCTATTGCTACCAAATGTAAGACTGTATCTTAGCTGATGCTTTGTCTTAGCACAAATGAAGCTTGCAAAATAAGGAGGAGAAAAAACCCATGAAGGACAGAGGTTAAAAAGATATAAAGAAGTATCATTCTTGTTGACTGCCTGCCAGTTCATACCTGCTGAAGGTCTGGTCCAACTTCACTCCCGTTTGTTTTTCCTGTTGCTGTTCTGGGGAGCCAACTTTCCTCCCTTTTATACTGGCTTACCTTTTACTTCACATAGGGTTTGCTGCATTATCCAGCAAAGTGTAATTGTAACTTGAGTCTTAAATTTGAGTCTTGATGTTTGAGTCTTAAATAGAGACATGAAAAGAAGTGTTAAGAGGAGTGTAAACAGCTCTTTTTTCCTAGCCCCATGAAATTTGAAGGCATAATTTACTCTTTAAATTTTTATATTTGCTTAGGAGAAGCCTTTAGTTGTATGTATGGGAAGTTTTTTTCATTTAATTGTTGGATTTACAATGTCACTACAAGTGAATAGGTAGGTAAGATGACCAGTCACAAGAGAAGCACAAAAGATAATAAACACTTCATTTTGTTTGCTTAAAACAGAGTGTGTATGCTTTAGCAACTATAGTACTGTCTGTGCTTTTATTTTAATAATAGCCAGAGTAGCTTTCAGATGTGGGCATTATCCTTTCTCCAGCTGTTAAGTGCATGGAAGGTTGTGGTACAAGTTACGTTTTTTCACACAGGTAAGAATCCAGAAGGATCTGAAAGGTCAGCTATGTTTTTAGGCTTGGCATTGGAAAGAATATTTCACTGTTATATGGCAACTGCCAGAAGGGTTTCGTGGGTCTTTTTGGTAATTCAATTTTGAAAAAAGGCACGAATGTGTATTCTCGGGATAAAGACATCATATCCTTGCTGCTTAAAGGAAATTCCAGCTCCCAATAATGTATGCAGAAGAAAAATTTGTGTTGGTTGTTGTTTGAGGTCTTGATGCTTTGCCAAAGTGTTAAACAGATATGTTCTAACTTAGCTTAAATAGAAGTGGGAGGTAGAATATTTCTGATCAGTTGTATAAGAACTGTGAATAAATTCTGAGTTGGTGACCCTATTACATCCTGGTCTAAGTAATATAAATGTTCAGATGAATGTTTTATCCCATATATAGCCAGCACCCTGCTAACATAGGGCTAGAGGAGAGCTCAAGAGAATGCTCAGTCCAGATTTCAGCAGTGAGTCAGTATCAAATTTGTCTGTGTTGTTCTTAAACATCTGTATGTTTGTCTAAGCTGGTTTTATAGAACCTTTCAGTTAAATACTTCACAGCATACTCACATTAACTGCTCCAATTTTTCTTGAGATTTTTTTTTCTCTTTGGTGAGTATTAACATCAAAATATACTAATGTCGTCTTTGAAATGTGTGAAGCACAAAAGGCACCCACAGGATAATATTATCATTTAGGATAATAAAACAATCAGTGTGTGATTTACTTGAAAGGCACGGGACTCCTTCTACAACAATTTTTAGTGGTAGTTCATATTTTTGTCTCTGGCATTGGTATGTTTTTTTATCATTTCACTTTGAGACAAACTTGTTGCTGATTTAGTTGTGGATATTCCTGTTGAAACATTACATTTGATATTTAATTTCCTAGCTGGAAACTGATGAAGGCTTTTTCTGGATAGCCTATCATTATTAAGTGTTCCTTTCACAAAATATATTCCTTGCAAAGTGGGGTTAAGGAAGTGTTTTGAGGTGCTGGGGAGAGGGGAGTAGTTAGCATTGCCTTTGTTCCCTCTTTGCACAAATACGTGGTTCATTTGGATAGGGCAGACAAGATGTTGCATTTCTGATTTAAATTTTCCCTCTATTAGCTAGGATTTTTGTGCTTTTTGTTTTCCCCTTTTAAGTGTTTATAATGCCTAAAATACCAGGCTTCTACTAATATGGATTATTTTCTCCTTCTAGCAAATGAAAACTACAAACAAGTAGCAATGTGCATTCTGTATCACATAAGCATGGATGATCGCTTTAAATCAATGTTTGCGTACACAGACTGTATACCACAGGTATGTGCTTTTATATATGGTGAGGTGGTACGATGCATCTTTCCCTCTGTCTTCCTCGCTCATAGCAGAGCTCGCACTGACACCCACAGGTGAAAGTGGGAACAACCACGATGCTGCTGAGTCGGTGGTGAACTGCCTATTCATCGGGCAGTCTGACTTCTTGCTGTCTTTTAATGGTCCCCAGGAAAAGGATAGGTGACATATTCTCTGTCAGTGCTGCTAACAGTTGAGCTGCATCAATGAATTGGTAAAAATATAGGTGACCTGATGAATTTCTACAGAAGATCGGGAATGCTTGAAAGAGAATAAAGCTTGTGCACAGCACGTCCTTAGGGAACCTTGTGGAAAGTATTTCCTTTACAGTTTTAGAAGGCATTCTTTTCTGATCCCATTGGGTATCAAAATTTCAACGTCTTCAGTATTACAGGATATGAACTGGAAACCAGCCAAGCAGTGTTATGTTGCTACATGACAATTCCTTTTCCAACTGCAGGCATGTACAACAGGGGAGACTTGAAGACTATGGAAGGCTCTTTACCGATCTTTCAGGCTACAGTTTGTTGCATAACACTTTGTCTCCAGTCATAGTCTTTGATCCGAGCACAGACACAAGATCACAGGGGCTTGGGTTTTGTGTGTATTTTTGTGTGTGTGTTTTGTTGTTTGTTGTGTTGGTTGGTTTTTTGGTTTTGTTTAACAAGTACCAAATCCTCTCTTACTGATCTTTTTCTCAGTCTTGATGAGGCTGGAGTTGAGAAAGCCTGCATTGCATAAGTGTAAAAGCTCTCCAGTAGCTTTTTCAGAATTGCACCATGATATCTTCTTTCCTGCCAAATGTGTTTTTAACATCAAATACATCCAGAATGGGAAGTTGCCATGGAAAGTTTTCAGAATGTTTCTGGTCATTATCTCATGACAAAAATGGTGATGTTTTTCCAAATACAGGAGGATTTTTGGAGAATAGAGAGGGGAGAACTGGTGGAAATAACTAGTGTGTGTTACAAAATGGTCTTGTAAACATCCTGCTGACTGCCTTTTCTGCCACAAGAAGCAACTATATGTCGAGGCATTTGCATAATATGAGGGACCTGCTTTGTTCTGAGCAGTCACCGTCCAAACCAGAATTTATGCACTGTGATTCAGGGCTTGCTTATGACGTGCTTTCAGGGAATCCTGGCATGGCTCTTAGATCCTCAGTGCCAAATGTAAAGAGCTGTGGAAACTTCAGTGATATCATACTCCGAGCTTTGGTGAACATCATTGTTCTGATAGGCAGTGACTGCTCAAACTAGTGCTTACAGAGCTGTATCCAAAAACTAGTGGAAACAAGTCCTCTGCCTTTACTGGATTTTGGCTAAAACGACAGAGTTTGAAGGATAACTATGGCTATTGATGTTTCGGTGGTCAGTGTAATTATTCACAGATCACATCTGCTGACAGTTCAAAAAGGACAAGCTGGACAACCAGAGCTTAAATTTTATTTATGAATGTTCAAAATTAGGACAGTTACTAAGAAAGACAGAGGTGGTAGAAAACATGGGGAAGTGGATAAGGTATCAGGAGAAGAAAATGACCTTTTTAAAAGGACTCCCTGCCATCTGCTTCTAGCCTGGAAAGCCAAATTTTCTTTTCAGTAGTAGTGTGTGCCCTTCAGTGGGTTTGTTTTCTTTAGAGGAAAGATGTCCCTCTAAACTGGCAAATACTCAATAATGAATGTTTCGCTGTTGTAGAAAGTGACTGGAAAATCAGTCCCCTGTTGTCATTTTGAACAGGCGAAGTGCTTGACAAGGGCTTGCGCGTGCTGTCCCAGGTAAACATCCTTGTGGATTGCAGGAGTTAGTGGGTGCTATTCTAGTAACAGTTAAAAGTCAGTATTAACAGTTCATTCTTGTTTAGACCTCAGCAATGCGTGTTTTGTTTAAATAGGTGCAAATGCCATCCAGATGCTTATAAAAGCCTTTATTGGTAATAACCTGGCCAATCAAAGGGCATGGTTAGGCAGTGATGTCATGGTGATATTTAATATTTTACCGCAGAGCAGTGTGCAAGGTTCTCCGCAGCTACCCACATGTTTTCCACCACGGTTGTCCTGTTTGGCCCCTCTTTGATCTATAAGCTTCTTTTCAGCTTAATGCTGGTAAACGTCCTCTCTTGACAGCACCCTTTGCTCCTGTCCGCCATTATCTGCTGAAGTTCAGAAACCAGAGCATCACTTCAAACAGCAGAGTTGGGGAGTAGCCGGTCAGGAGAGATTCCTGAGGCATGCAGTTCTGGCATAATCATTCAAAGATGTTTGAGCTGGGCTTGGGGAGGGGGTTGGACAGAGGTGTATGTGAACAGAGAGCTGTGGGGGTTGGCCTCTGGTCACTGGTAAATAAGTGAAGGCAGGTGCCAGAGAGTCTAGACACAGTGATTTCAGTCCTGGTCTGTGGTATCTGATACTCAATATGGGACTTGTCTGATTGAACACTACTGCCTCTTCATTGCACATGCTGCAGTCTTTTTACTGCCTTCCTGTTAAATCAGTAAAAGATGACAATGGACATAGTAAAAGCAGAACAAATTTAATTTTAATATTTCCTATTTGGCAGCAATTACTCTTCCTTTTGAAGTGGCACAAGAAGCAATCAAATTAAATGAAGACATAATGGGAAACATGGAGCTCGTACGAAACTATTATTTTAAAATTTGAATGGCTTTAATTGAAACTGGATATATTTTTTCTTTTTATAGAGAAGTAGTTCAGTAATTAACAGTGTAATCCCATCTTGTTAAACATCTAATTTCCACAGATTTTGTATTGTGTAAGTAATGAGAATGTTTCCCTTCAAATTATTTGAAGGGTTTTAAAAATCTGTTTTTAAAGGTTTTGTAACAGAAGAGTTGCAGGGGGTGATTTTTGAATGCTCATGTTCCACTTGTTAAGTGGCAACTTTCTTCTCTGGTTAATTCACTCTTATGTGACTGTCAGGCTTACGGATTTAATAAACTAGGGATTTTATAAGTTCTTGAAACAACCTAAGGAAATCTGATTCTACTTTTTTAAGAAAAGGAGGAAGAAATCAATGATAGCTTTTAAATCAGTACATGAAAGTCCCAGAAAAAGAGATGAATAACTATGCTATAACATAAATTTTTATTATTTTTTTATTATTTTATTTGGGTCCATTTGGAATGACAGCCTGCTATCTCATAATAGATAAACATACAGAATTCCTGTAGTAAAATATTTTGGAGTGAAATTCCTGCAGTCCTATTGTTCCCCCCCCGCCACTCTCTAAATGGGTTGTTCACCCACTTTCTCTAGTTTTTAATGCTTTACAAACTGTCTTTCCACCAGGGGGCAAGCACACAAATATTTAATGATTAGTTGTTGCTTTCTTCTCCCCCCACCCCTTTTTCACACAAACTGAGCTACATTTTTTGTATCTTATGTCCCACTTATCTTTAGGTTCAGTTGTTTCTACTTTCAGTAATCTCAGTCTTGTCATCACGCTGCTTTGCATTATAATCTTGACATGTCTTATGGACTGAGCAGGTTTTAGGAGCAAATAGGGTGATGTCCTGCAGCCCCTCAATGAGGAAGCCATGCAGCTTGTCTGCCATGGTTGGAAATAGAGAAAAAGAAACAGATGTATTTGAGTCATGTTCATATATTCAATATGCCATTTCAAAAAATGTTCATATTGAGCAAAATGAGACGGCCTGTGATGTAATGGGCAACACAGGTGCCAGGTATATAAAATTATGGCAGTCCGTAGGTGGTTATTCCTAAGGAATCATCTGGGAATTCACTGACACTTACTGAAGAGTTGGAACAGGATTATAGGCAATTGTCTACTTATGTTAACCCAGGTTGTTCTTTCCCGTTACCTAAAGAATACGACTACTACTGAGAAGTCTTTGGTATACGGCAGTGTTTAGCTCTAGTAATGGAAACAGCAAAGATAAAGCATGTTGCTGCAGACACAGCTAATTTACCTATCAATGGAGTAATCTCAAAGCAAAATAGTAGTAGAATTATTCTGCAATTAAGTATCCATTTAGAGTCATAATTTTATTAAACAACCAGGTATTAATCTGACTTTCTGTGGAACTAAGTTGTGGGGTTTTTCTTATACTAAGTCTACCTAAAATTTCAAACCAAATTTACCCATTCACAACTTTAAAAAAAAAAAAACAACAAAAAACAGTAAAAATAAAAAAAACAGTGGTAGCAATAAAATGTAACTAACCCAAGTTAATTTTAGGTGATGAGTGACTGCCATTTTTGGCACTTTGTAAGCATTGTTATCCCCAAATAATGGAACTATACATCTTGTGCCCTTGACCTTTTTAACTTTACTGTTCCTGTAGAAATGCTGAATATTAATTTTAAAAAAAATAAGCTAGTGTAGTTGACATCATAACATTGCTCTTCTAATGCTTTGGAAAGATGAATGGCTGAAGTGTGCTTGTGTTTCTTGGCAGTTAATGAAGATGCTTTTTGAATGTCCTGATGAGCGAGTTGACCTGGAACTTATTTCTTTCTGTATTAACCTTGCTGCTAACAAAAGAAACGTACAACTTATCTGTGAAGGTAAGGGTAATGACATTTTACTGTTTTCTTGGAGATAACACCACTTTTATATATAATATATATATGTAATTTTATAGATAGTGTCCTGGTTTTAGCTGGGATAGAGTTAATTTTCTTTCTAGTTAGCTGCTACAGTGGTGTGATTTGGATTTGGTATGACAATAATGTTGAAAACACACTGATGTTTTAGTTGTTGCTAAGTAGTGCTTATCCTAAGTCAGGGACTTTTTGGTTTCCCATGTTCTGCAAGCGAGGAGGTGCTCAAGAAGCTGGGGGGGAGCGTAGCGAGGACAGCTGACCTGAACTAGCCAAAGGGATATTCTGTACCATAGGACGTCATGTTCAGTATATAAACTGGGGGGAGTTGTCCAGGAGAGGCCGATCACTGCTCAGGGACTGACTGGGCATTGATCAGCGGGGTGGTGAGTTAATTGCATTGTGTGTCACTTGTCTGTCTTGGGTTTTATTTCTCTCTCGTTATCTTCCTTTTCATTACTATTATTATTGTTGTTATTGCTGTTATTATAATATTTTATTTAAATTATTAAACTGTTCTTATCTCAACCCATGAGTTTTACTCCCCCCCCTTCTCCTCCTCATCCCACTGGGGCAGGGGAGGAGTGAGTGAGCGAGCAGCTTTGTGGTGCTTAGTTGCTGGCTGGGGTTGAACCATGACAGTCCCTCTTGGTGCCCAACGTGGGGCACAAATGGTTGAGGTAACAACAGATCTGATCAGAGCGTGTAAAGCAAATTAGCTGTAAGTGTTTATTGTATTGGTTTCTATTAAACCAAGACATATGTTTATGTATATAAATTATGTATATTTGAGTTATTTATATATGTATATGTATTTTTAAAAAATAAAATGCACTTGTTTGGGTAATGATGGCAAGCAAATGGCCATATCCTCCACAAAATTGGTCTTGGTGGCAGGAGTGACACTGAGTAGCTGCACATGCCCACATCTCATGCATGTAGTTCTGTAAAATACACTGATGATGTTACTGTGGGAAGCTATGGCTGTATGGGAAGATGAAGATACTGTTCTCTACCTGGTGCCTAAAATCCATCTTCAGCTAATTGGTGTTTCACCTGCCAGTACCAAATTTAATACACAGTGATGTGGTTTAGTTGCATCTTTCCATCAGTTTCTTTTAATTGAGCATCTTTTGGGTTCTAGTATTTTGTTACGTGGTATAGATGGGTTCTGCATTTTGTTCAGTAGCTCTCTACATTGCTTTTAAAGTTTCATTATTTTCATACTAGCAGCTTTAAATGGAAGGTTATTATTCAGTATCTCTAATTTTTACTTGTGCTCAAAATTTTCACTATAAACTACTACAATAAATTACTAGACTTTAAAAGGAACAATTGCAATCAATGGATTCTATGGCCAGTAATTCCACTTTAAAATTCTGTGCATAGCTCTGTGGAAGGGGGAGTAGGGAGATCCAATTTTATATGAAAGGTACAAAGGAAATTCAAGCTAGTAGCACTTACTAGATAGGCAAGGTGATCTTTTGGAAGCATAATGGTAACAGTGGGACTTGCCCTATGCAATCAAGTACTTCAGATCTGTGTATGTTATGTGTATTCCTATGTCATGATCTACATGACTGGTAAATAATCTTTAAAACCCATAAGAATGTATTTATTCCATGGAGTGGGGAGAGAAGTCTCTGTGCTAGCACCAACAGCTGTGCTGCATCTCCACTAACTGCACTTGATTATAGGATAATGATTTGGATCTAGAACTTTTCTTGGTCTGAATAAATAAGAACACCTGAAGCATTTAGTTACTTATCTGACTTTTTAAGTGTCCCATCAGTACATATGGTCATAGTAGCTGTTTTAGAGAAGCTATAGAATTTATACAGAGCAGGTCTTTTCTTTTCAACTTAAACTTGGAAGAAGAAAAAGTTCCTGTCTAGATTCTTCACTTTTTCCTTGTAAACTTTTAAAAGTTAAAGCTGGGTTTTTGCATGTGTGGTGTTGATTTTTGATCAGCCAGTACTTTCCTCATTCTTTTTATTTGGAGGATTTCCTAAGTGTGTGTTTCTTTTCAGGAAATGGCTTGAAAATGCTAATGAAGCGGGCTTTGAAATTTAAGGACCCATTGTTAATGAAGATGATCAGGAATATTTCACAACATGATGGGCCAACTAAAAGCCTGTTTATTGTAAGTATTATCTGTTACCTAATGTGATCTCTGATTCTTTCTACTGGAAAAGACTGGCTTTGGAGAGCTGCTGTTTTGTCTTTACAGGGTGTCCAGTTTAAGTTTTCTTGGCTGTCATGGATTGATTTATGTTTTGTTTTATAAGGCTATCTAAGGTTGGTAGATCAGTGTTTGGATCCCTCACTACAGGGAAAACAGATCTAAAGCTGTATGCAGTAGGTCCCTGTTCCAGAACAAACACACAAACCCAAAAACCCCCAACTGCTGGGGTGCACATCATAATAATTAACAGTTATCCTAAATCTCTGCTTTCAGAGCTAGAGGGCAAAATAAAGTGTGGGGGTTTTTTTATACTGTGCAAAGTTTTTTGTATAAGTGGATATTCTAAAATTTTGAATACTTAATATTCAGTTAATCGTGTAAAGCTGCCCTCTCAATAGTAGGGCGGGAAACACAACATCCTAATTGTGGAATTTTTAAATGTACTGTTAAAATGAAGATTGAATATCAAATTGTCTTAAAGTAGTATGGAATTAGTAAGTAGAATGCATGATTCCCCTGTTTGTGTCCCCAGAAATCTTGTAGTTATTTGAGGACTCCATTACTGTCACTAATGCAGTATGGTGTTAGCTATTGTCTTTCCCTTATTTTCTAACAGCTTTCTCAAACTGTGTGTGTAGTAGCTACTTTTGGAACATCTGAACAAATGATGTACATCTCTTGAAAGTGAAAGGATGGAAAGGAAGAATGCTGAAATGTTTTCTTGGATTATTCTTCAACTGAAATTGAAAGTGCCTTATTAGCCCTCATTTCAGGAGAAAAGTCTCCTTAGCGTTCTTTTGAGAACTGGTTTTGATTTGACCAAGTTGTGAGTTCCTCAGAACTCCAAATTATTCACCTGTAATGTTTGTTGCTATATTTTCTTTAGGACTATGTTGGTGATTTAGCAGCTCAAATATCAAATGATGAAGAAGAGGAATTTGTGATTGAATGCCTGGGAACACTTGCAAATTTGACCTTACCAGATCTGGACTGGGAACTTGTGCTGAAAGAGTACAAACTGGTTCCGTACCTCAAGGATAAGCTAAAACCAGGTCTGTACAAAGTTTGGTTAGTCTTTCAAAGTAGATTCTCCTGAAGAATATTTAGAGTGCACTTTCAGAGTAGAGTCTGTTTACCTTTATAATTTGTGATTGTTTGGGGAAACATAACACTGAAGAACATAATCGTACCTACAGATAAATATACAACTGCCACAAGATTAAGAATTTCTAGGAAGTAATACTTTGTCTTGACTTACCAGGTTCTGCAGAAGATGACCTCGTTTTAGAAGTGGTGATAATGATTGGAACAGTTTCTATGGATGACTCTTGCGCTGCTCTGCTGGCTAAATCTGGAATCATCCCTGCACTCATTGAGCTTCTAAATGGTATATTGCCATGTTTGACTTTAAGTCTTGTTTTTCAGAGACATTTAGATGACGTAGCTATGCTGTAACGAATGCACCATTCATTTTCTCTTGTGAGGCAGAGGTAGGTGTTTTGTATATGAAAGGAAGAGCAATTCCTCCGTTATTGATAGAGAGACTAGTAGTCTAATAGATTTGATTTTTCCCATACCTCCACAACTCTTGCTTCAATCTGTGGTCTTTCTACTTGACTGGAGCAGGGAAGAAAATACTCATTTTGTGTTGTCAGGAGATGAAATCTCACACATACCACTGAACTGTCTAGCTGACATGTAAGAACTGGGCTTTCTCTAAGCATCAAGAGCTTCTAGTTGTGAGATCTGAAATTGTGGTGTTTTTTTTTCCTTGCAGCTCAGCAGGAAGATGATGAGTTTGTCTGCCAGATCATCTATGTATTTTATCAGATGGTCTTCCACCAAGCCACCAGAGACGTCATTATCAAGGAAACACGTATCTTTTTAAACAACTAGAGTTACAGCACTTAATTTGCCATCACTGATGTTTGGCCTATATTTCTCTTGCATAAACCTCCTGATCTCAGAGGTTTCTTTGTAAATGTTTTATTTCAGCTGAAGAAGAAAATCCAAGCAGCCTCAGCATGTAAAGGGACTGCAAGATTATTAGTAAAGATTAAAAGTTAATTTGCTTTGAAACAGGGAGGGGGATCACTGGACATGACCCATTAGTTTTTATCCGATCTGAATTACTGTATGGATTTGTTTTGCAGATTATAGTCAAAATCGTAGTCCATAGAAAAACTTACATAGAGTATAGACAAACTTCTTGCGCTGCACCATTATACATATATGTTGCATAGTCTGAAGTTGTGTGCATTAAAATAATAACATTCTTTCTTATATCGGTCTAGACAACATAAATAATGCCTGCTCTGTATTTTTCGTCCACCTAATTGTTCTTTGAACTTTGTTTGGCATAAGTCTGCCATCTTTTTCCCGCTATGGAGACTTTGATTTCTGTTCTCCTTTTTTTACCTGATTACTGAATCTGTTCTTTGGTTGCCTCACGTCATGGATCTGTTCAGTTTTTTTGTATGGTACTTATAACTCTTATTCAGTCTTTACTACTTATTCTTGCAATCACTGCTGATGTTGAGCTCACTCAGATGATCCAAAAACCGTGGAAAGAGGCACTAGTTGTCTTTGTGGGCCTTAACTGAATGTTAAATTTTATTGAAACATAAGGAAGAGGTTGAATGGAGCCCTTGTAGGGATAACAGATTAGTGATTACTTTGCTAACAATACAAGGACTACTTCTTAATGTCCTTTTTCCTTTAAGATCTGTGGAATATCCGAGAAGCCATTTGGGATGTTGTTCTTTGTCTCGTGTTTGGACTCCTAGGTAGCTAGCTTTAAAAAAAAAAAAACTTAATTGCATCTCTTTTTATATCTGTAATGATAAAGCACCATCATTTGAACAATGCTTTTCTCACTCAAACCGAACAAGACTAGTATTAGTGCTATCATGTGTGCAGTAGATTATCTTCCATGTTTTTGAGACAAATACATTGGAAACCTTTTTTTAAAACAAGAACACTCCGTAAAGATTACAAAAGTAACAGTCTCAAAAGGTTAAACCATTCCACAGAATCTATGCCTTTTGGACTAACACATTAGGTGCATGGATTTCTTGTAACAGATCAGAATGTATTTTCTTTAAGGGGCGTGTAATTTTTCTTCAGCAAATTTGAAGAACATTTGGGTATCTTAATGTGATTTTTAAAAGAAAAAAGTGGTTGAGAGAAGGCTGCTGAACTTCACATGTGATGGAAAATTCCTGACTATGGTACTTAATGAAATTTGCAGTTGGAAGAAGCCTAGGCTGTAAAAAAAAATTAAAAAATAGCTTTTATCCTTAACAGTTTCTTTCCAGAGGCTCCAGCTTATCTTATAGACCTGATGCATGATAAAAATGCTGAGATTCGTAAAGTTTGTGACAACACTCTGGATATTATAGCGGTAGGTCTGATTTTTCTTTTATCATCTGTCCTTCAAGAACCTCTTTACATGAGAATTCTAAAATAACTAAGTAGCAATAACTTGTAAACTGAGGATATTTTTCATGTGCAACTTTCTAATTACATAGGTAAAACAAATTTTCATGGGACAATGACAATCTTTAATCTAGGCTGTGTACCAGACTTTGAAAAAGTGCATATATACTTCGAAAATTCATACTAGTTAGCTTTACACTACAGATGCTTTTAAAGAGTGCTTTTATACTTAAATTAATCACACTACATTTTATTATTTCTTAGTTCTCCAAACAAATGGCTTTTGTTAGCCAGCAGCTTTTATTCAGCTTTTCTACATCGCCTGATGCAAATATTTGTTTCAAAAAGAAAATGTGGGTGGTGATCCTGAAGCTGGTTGTTTTCTGCTGGGGGGACAGTTAGTATAATATTGAACTCTTTATTATTGTCCTCGATTGTTGGATAGGTGTCCTGGTTTCAGCTGGGATAGAGTTAATTGTCTTCCTAGTAGCTGGTATAATGCTATGTTTTTGAGCTAGGTATGCGAAGAATGTTGATAACACTGATGTCTTCAGTTGTTGCTAAGTAATGTTTACTCTAAAGTCAAGGATTTTTCAGATTCTTGTGCCCAGCCAGCAAGAAAGCTGGAGGGGCACAAGAAGTTGGCACAGGACACAGGCAGGGCAGCTGACTGAAAGTGGCCAACGGGGGATTCCATACCATGTGACGTCACATCTAGTATAGAAACTGGGGGGGATCACTGCTTGGGGACTAACTGGGTGTTGATCGGTGGGGGGTGAGCAATTGCACTGTGCATTATTTGTATATTCCAATCCTTTTATTATTACTGTTTTCATTTTATTAGTGTTACCATTATCATTATTAGTTTCTTCTTTTCTGTTCTCTTAAACTGTTCTTATCTCAACCCACGAGTTTTACTACTTTTCCCGATTTTTCTCCCCCATCCCACTGGGTGGGGGACAGGAGTGAGTGAGCAGCTGTGTGGTGCTTAGTTGCTGGCTGGGGTTAAACCATGACAATAGGTTTCCTTTAGCTACATGACTTCGTTTGTGCAGCTATCCATTGATCACAATAAACTTTTGGGACAGTTGTTTTGTATTAAGCTGCTAACCTGGAACAAAGAAAGAATAGTAAATTATGGAGTGCTATTGCTTTATCAGCTCTTATAGCATGTATAATCTGCTTCTGGGGATCCCTGACTCTAGAAGCATTAATATTTTCTAGGGTATTCTTCAATGAAGTAAAGACATTGTGAAACTGATTCCACTTAAAAGTTGCATTTCCTTGTTAAAATTTCTCCTGGCCTGTTTAATTGAATTGACTTCTATTGATAAAAAGAAATCTCAGCATTTTGTAGTGTCTTAGGATTGTACAGACTGTACATCCTTTTGGATGTAGAGTAGCTGTCATGAAATTAAATCTTATAGCCAAAGAGAACTTAACTATGAGTGAAGAGTAGTGCCTTTGACTACCTTAATGCTTTTCCGATCATCTGCTTAGTTTCTTCAGTTGAATTATGCATATTGCAGCTTGTTCTCTGAAAGGTTTAGTGTAGTGTAAGACCTAACTTAAGCTGCACAATACTATAGTCTATTTTGTCTTTTTTCTGTTATACTCATTAGTAATGCCTTATAATTTACATTATTTTACTACTTTTTTTAGATTAATATTATTTTCTGTGTTGGAATTCTTTTTATCTGGCTCTGGTTTTGCTTTGTGGAGGTATAGAATGAAAATCGTGGCAGGCAGTTAGTGGCAGAGTTGCTGTTGACATTCATTGAGGGCAAGTTTTCAACTAAGATGAATTTGCACTTAGTACTTAATTATGATGGGCACTATGTTCAGCTTGCCAAGATCAATTATTTCCAGGGACATCTCCAATGGAAACAGTAGAAAGATTTTTAGCTTCTGGGTGAGGCCAGACAATCCAAGTGCTTCCAACGCTTGTTTTATCTTGGGGCCAGTGCAATTTCTAAGTGTCTCAGGCGTTGGATTTGTTCACGTTGAGGAGCTTTACAACACGGTACATACTAGTATCTGGTTACTGAAAAATTATGTCAGTAATATTACTAAGCAACATTTATAGAATCTAGAAGAATAAATACATTAAGACATAGCTTCATATTCAATATTAACATTTGAGTAAAATGTACTTGGCTTTTTTTTTTCTTCCTAAGAAGGGGTAATTTTATGCTAGCCATGAGTAAATGAGGAGTGCTATGATAATGGAAGGGAAAGGCTTCTTAACTTGCAAGAAGCATTGGACAGGATTTCTAGAGCCTTGAGGAAGAATAAAGGGAGGAAATTATATGGTACTGCCGTTATTGGGAGTAGGGGAGAAAGAGATCAAGCATGTACTGAGACTAGTTTGTGTGGTGGTAAATTATTTTTTTTTCTTTGGTTGTGGAGCAGTGCCACACTTAGAATGGTGTTCACTGGTAAGTTAGGAGAGTTCCCTTTCTGCGAGGGTCTTTTGAGCTTTATTATCTAGCTGTTGGGTTTTAAGCTGCGTAAACCATAACTAAAACCATGCCCCCGTGGGGAACAGGAAGCACAATATGCCCTCTTTTCTGGAAGACAGAGACAACCATTAATTGATTGCTTTCTTGGCAATGTTGTAAGCTGGTTGCACTTTGTCTCCTAGTACCAAAAATCACAGGCAAAAATGACAACACATTCCAGATGGTGATGGGAGAAGATGTGAAACATTAAGTTATCAGAACCTCAGATCTTGATAGGTGTTTTGCTGTTCAGCTCAGAGGATATGGTAAGCAGCCTGTAAACACTGAGATGTTTGTTTGTGTGGCAGTTTTACACACTCAGTGCCTTTGGAGGTGTCTGAACAGAAGTAGTCTCTAAGATTGGTGAAACTTCTTATCTGTGCTAAATCCACAACAAGAAAAACTTAAATTTTCAGTCTTGCTGTTCTATACATGCTGACAGGATTAGTTCCTCTGATGATGGAAATCAGAAACTAAATGTTGGAGAATAGAGATTTGAAAGTAATTTCTTCTCAGGGAGACAAATGCTTCTTTCACTTATCAATAAGCTCTATATAGTGTGATTGAAATAACACTGAAGAAAATCAGATGCCTTATAAGCCTTAGGGGAGATACACTTTCCGTAGTAAAGTAATTGTCACAGAAATTATGGAAATGTTACACTAGTGATGATTTGTTTAATATAGCTTGGCTGGACTCTGCCATTGATGAACTGAAACAGATGTGCTGCTTTAGCCTAGTATGTACTGGGGAGTCTCAGCTTTGCACTGGTAGATGCAAGATATCCCTTTTGTTAAAAAGAAAGTCTGTGTTGACAATTTAGGAATGCTTCAGTCTTGTGTTGTGCTGAGTCTTGACACCAAGCAGCTAGTTTAGTGTACTTGTACACCTAAAGTGGAACAGGTGTCATGGCTCACCTGAAAGCCTGGAATCAACAGCTGGTATAGGAGTCTCCAGCAAATTAAGTTCCCTCTTCCTCAGAAGCCTGGACACCTGCAACTCAAAGCTTGTGTAAAGAAATGTCAGCTTACTCAAGATGGTTTTACTCTGTTCACCTCAGACAATATTATCAAGAGCTGAGGGGGTTATTAATCTCTCAGGTTTCTCATTCTTTTTCTGCTCCTAGCTCAGACTTATTGCAGTTAAATCATTTTCCTCATTTATTCAAAGGATATTTAATTAATCATAACCAGATCCTTGGACTGTTTAGTCTGAGCCTTCCCCTTACCCCATTTCCCCCCACTTTCCTATTTAGTGTTTTTACAGCTTTGAATCCAGGCCTGCTGTACCATCTTGTTTCTCTTACCAGGAGTGGATCATTCATTGTGCTTCCTGCAGAAGTAAAACATCTAGATAGCTACAGCATTGTCCATGTGATTTAAGGGCCTCATGCCGAAGGCGTTTTCCAGCTCTCATTCTTTGCCCCAAGTATTTGTAATGAATGCCAAATAACATTTGCTTCATATGGAAAGCTGTGTTAATGAACGGCTTGCATCTTTCCATGTTAGCTAACTGTCCTGATACAAATCGTCCGTGTTGGGAATGCTGTAATTTCACATAAGAAGCAAGAATGTGATGTGAACTCTCAGTGTTCTGGGATTTGGGGCCAGCTGTGCAAGATGTTGGCCAGCTCTCTTTGAATCAAGGAAGAGCAGACCACAGGGATTTGGTGTGGCCTTTATTTGAATAGGCAGTGTACTCTGAAAATAGATAACCTTTGACTCCAGCTTGGTGTCCTTTTTCCATGAAGAGTGCTGTAGTCACTCCAGGAAAAAAGGTTCTCCCTTCCCTTGTCAAGACTTCCCCCTTTCTCTGGTGTCTCTTGTTCCCCTGTTATCCTGTAACAGTCATGAATACAGAGAGGTGGGCAGAAAAGCAGCTAGGGTGTGGGGCTGCAGGCTGAACTGTTGACATATGTTTTCACTGATCAACTTCTGCATTGTTACATTTGCAATCAGTCTGCTTTGGTGCTGGTAGCTTTTTGTGGCAAAGAGCATGCATGTGGCAGGAAAGGCTCTACCTGGACTAGAAGAATAACTGCACTGCAGGCAGCATTAGATAGGGCAGGTATGTCCTGATTGTTTTTGTCTTCACATAAACTTACCTTGGACGGATTTCTTTCTAGCATTGGTACTTGCTCTTTGGAGTTGTAAGGCTCGGAAGGTAAGCCAAGCCACCAATCTCTGTTACTTCTATAACAGCTTGCCAATGAGATACCTTACATTCCTCCAAAGGAAAAAAAAAAAGTTTCTCTCTTCAGCTATTGACAATATAGGAACCCTGTGGATGGTGTACATTTTATGTAGGCACCTGAATTCAGGGGGCATGAATGTTTACTCTTTCTCTGCCTTGCCATTAGTTTGATATGACAGGTTTCTATTAGCTTCCAATCAGAATGTATTTAGTGATGAACTTGATTGCAAAGAATTGACTCTGGGTAGCACAGGTGTGAGTGGTAGGAGGATTTTTTTTGGCCTGTGAATGAATTGCCCTCCGGTGGTACTTACCCTAAGATAGGTGTCGTAGACACCTGCAGAAGGTGATCTATAACATCTGTTTCTCTGGTTTATAGAGGCACATAGTTCAAATGGCATGCCTAACTTTTGGATAGCTAGACAAGATAAATCTTTTCTTTCTTAATAAATGGTTAATTTAACCTTTCATGTAAACTGTGTTTTAGGGATGGTTAAATAATGAAGAATGTAACATATCACCAAATACAGCCTTGAACATAATGAGCATTCTACTTACTGTATAGCAGTTTTAGTTTAGTATGAGGAATCACTTCAAATGAACCCTATTACAGACCCAATTAAAGGGCAACCACATTAAAGTGAAAAGGAAAATCTGTTTTTCATCAGCTGTGAGAGAACACAAAGCAGATCTGTGTAGCTCTATGTTATCCTATAGTGTGTTAATCAGATACAAGGTGTGACGGAAGCCAGTGACAAAGGGGACCCCTGATAGGGAACAGACATGCTCTGATAATAGGCCAGTTAACGCTTCATAATATTTCAATGGTTCAGTAGTAAACAAAGCTGGAAGTAGAACTTCAAAAAGGATGGCACATTCCTCGCAGAGTCGAACCATACATCTTCTATGACACTTCTGGATTTATGGAAACCGAATGTTAAAAACAGTGATGTCAGGGAGTTCCAAAGAGAATAAAATCAACCTTCAGGATTCTTCCTTTTATGTTTCTGAACATACAGTATTTGGAGGGGGGCAGGGGGTTGGAAAATAGGCACATTCTGTCCACCTTCTTCTCATTCCCCTACCCGCTGCTTTTCTAGTAGCCTAACATTTAAAAGGACTGAAGGGCACAAAGCCATGTTTGTATCTCCATGGTGTTTAGTTTTCTGGTTTCATTTTTGCAGGAATTCCTTAGTAAAGAAGGTGTGCTTCATGTGTTTAAAAAAAACAAAAACCAACCAAAACAAAAACCCCACTACACAAAATTAAAAAAAAAAAACAAAAAAACAAAACAAAAAAACCCCCCAAACAAACCACATTTTTAATAGCTCAAAATATAATTACTGGAAGACTTGCTGTGTTTTAGAGAATTGTTTTTCTCTAAACTTCTTTAATTTGGTTTCTTTGTGCCTTTTGGCTGTAGTCCTGCGTTTACAGCTTTTCTTCCATTCTGATGTTATTCCATTAATCATTTACCCAGTGGTGTTTCTGCACATTTCTGTGGAAAATGTACAGACATATTACTGATCTAGCAGTACTTAAATGAACTTTTTTGTGCTGAGGTTATGTAAATTGTTCTACATTATTGCAAATCATCCTTTCCTAGGATTGCTGCCAGAATGAAACTCTTGACAGAACTGATCATTGATCCGATTCTGGTGCAGTGACTTCTTTGTTCTTGTTGCACATTCATAGTGAAATGCAAAGTACAAATGTAACAAAGTAGCCAAACTGCTTGAATGGATAACTTGTGATTTATTTTTTTTAAAGTAATGTGTGGATATGCTTAATCTTACATCTCTATTTGCCATTCAGTTGCTAATCCAAAATTCAGTGGAATGATTGAGGTAAAATACCTCAGAGTTTTAGGCCTCTTAATATAGGATGGGAAATATAGAATGCACAGGAATATTCTGCCCTGTTGTTGTCTAAAGAAAAAATCAGTTAGGATCTGAGAAGTGTTAACTGATTTTTTTAGAAGGATATAAGAAGTTCATGTCTATTTGTGATGGATGTTCAGACAGTGGTGTGGAATGGAACAGCAGTGTTGGGCAAGTGGGATTCATTTTGGGTTGTAACTTTGGGAAGATTAAAATGTTTTCAAAGTGCATTTATGGTAAATGTGAATTAGGTAAATTAGTTGCTGGCCTTTCTGCTTTTGAGAACTTCTAAAGGTAAACAAGGTAATGTAAAAAGGATTCAGCTTTCCCACAGATTAGTCTAATTTGCTGTTTGTTAAATTTGTTTATTTTTCCCCACTTCTTTGCAATCATGATTTCTGGGAATAGTTTTCCTAAGACTGCAGTATGATTTCTGGCAGTTACAAGGTGTTTCTCTAAAGCTTGTAAGTAATTCACAACTGCTGGAGGCTGACATAATAGATAGCCCACAGTTTAGCTCTGGCAGATGTAGCAAAGGAGATGTTTCCAAGATGCTGGTCAGATGTCATCATTGAAAGTTATGACCTTCTGGTTTTGGGCTTTTGGGGGGGGGGGGTTGTTTTTTTTTTCTTTCTACTGGTCATTGTATAAATCTCACTGATGAGCTTGCTTTTTCCAAGGGGAACTCTTGTTTTGCGCTGTTATTTCTCACCTTTCCTTTTGATCAAGAGTGGAAGTGGGGGAAAAGATCAAGAGGCAGAAATAGCATGAGATGTTCTTTTTCCAAACAGTATGAGATGCAGATGTGTGTTTGGGTTTTGGTGGTTTCGATGTTTTGTTTTGGTGTTTTTTCTCCCTCCCTAAGGTTGATGCATTAGTGTATGGCTGACAGAAACCTGGAAATTTGCTTGAGGCCACTAGGCACTGAGAATATTTATAGATCCCAGAGGTGATACCTGCTCTGTGTATGGAAGTTATGCAGGAGACCAGGTTTTGAACAGGACCACTTGTGTGCCAGGATGGTGCAGAGATGAATTAGAAAGGTCTAGTAATTAGTGTTGACCAGAGGTAGAATTGGGGAAATTTAGAATAATGCCACAGACTGATCAGAGCCCCAGATCTGCAGGTACTTGGATGGATGTCTGGTAAAAAGGGAGTTTACATTCTGCTTTAAGCCAAGAGAAACAAACTTGCCATTTCTCCAAGTAAAGCAAAGTTTAAAAACCTACTGCCATAGAGTAAGGGTTTGTGGTTGCACAATGCTACATGATTCCCCATGAAATCTTGGATGCTCTAGATATTTGTTGTCACTGTCAGGGAATGCTCTGCCAGAATGACAGGGCCAGCTAGTTTTTGTGTTATTGACCAGTCAGAAGGGTGGAAAAGGCATAGGGTAGAGAGTGTGTTACCTATGTCAGGTGAATAGCAGTGGAGGCAAAGTGGGTTGAATATTAAATCAGTTTAAAAGCTCAAGTTCAGTCTATAGGGGTTTCTGAAGTTTAACCTGAGCTACTAAGCCACCTCACTCTGTCTTTACTGCTGTTTTTTGATCTCTGGTTATATACAGATCTATTTTTTTGCATGTCTAGCTGGGGCAGTTTAAGAAATTACGACTTCCACAGCCAAGGCATTGTTGCTAATTGTGTGAACAATTTTCATCCCCTTCAGGGCTAAGTAAAACGGATTTTAAAAACCTTAAAACTACTGCAGCTAGATCTCCAAGGGAAGTCTGCCTAGATCATGTGTTAACCAACACGAGAGTTAAGAAATTCTTTTCAATTTTTCTCTCCTTTTTAGTTAGGTTAGAAGACAGTGAAGTGGGACCTGTTTCATGAGGATATTTCTTCCCACAAGTAGAAACACTTTGGTTATGAATGTTATTCTTGTTCACAGTCCTTTCATTAAAAAAGTACCAACCACGTTGCATTATTTGTGAATCTTTCCAAATGGATAACATCTGCAGATTTCATATGTTGATGAGTTTCCTATAGTTAACTGTGCCCTATCTTTCCAGCAGTATTGTGAAACTAAGTGTTATCCACAGGTCTGTGTTCCCTCAGCAGCCCTCATAGTCTGGTCTGTTTAGAAAGAGCCTTCGAAACAGCTGATTGCAATGATCATAGGCTATGTCACTTCCTTCTATATTGAATATATATGTGATCATCACTTGACTGCAGTTAAGCTGTAATCCACATTGAAATTTCATGTGTACATTTTGTTTCCATAGAGGCTGGAACCTATATCCTGTTTTTCTCAGCTTTCTGGAGAAGTTCTTCTCAGATTTTAGTTTTGTATCTCAAATTCTCGTATCCTCTTTATTACGAATGTTGTGTACCATTTTTGTGGGTATTCAATATTAAACATAGAAAGCCATTATAGAATTTGACAAGAAGTTGAAAATTAAATCCTGTCTTATTGGAGCTCATGAAATTAAGATTTATTGGTTTTATCACAACCTTTTATGTTGTATTTTCTAGTGACTAGTTGTCCTAGTGAATGCTCATCTAATGAGGACATCCAGGGTATTTGGACAGTGTTAGTAATTAATTACTGAACCCCTCCCCGAAAATTGGCAATAATTGGCTCTTCTTGATAAACCAAATGAGGAGACTGTGATGATGGAACTTCCCTGCTCAAAGCAGGAATTTTTTGTGGATGGTGTAAAGTTACAAACCATGAAGGGAAGACTGTACTGCTGTATGTACAAAAACAGAATAACGCCTAAAGCTTGCAAAATCATTCCTTTGTTTGCTCAAAATACTCTGCAAACTGAATAGAGGATTTAAGTCACTGAGCCCTGAAACTTACATCTTTCGCTGATGTTAAATTCCTCTGCTGTTTCCTGTTAAACCAAACAGCTTTGTCTATACCTTATCCTGAAATATTGTGTGGTAATTTTCAACAGGAATATGATGAGGAATGGGCTAAAAAAATCCAGAGCGAGAAATTTCGATGGCATAACTCTCAGTGGCTGGAGATGGTGGAGAGTCGGCAGATGGATGACAGTGAGCAGTATCTGTATGGTGATGATCGCATTGAGCCCTACATCCACGAAGGGGATATTCTGGAAAGACCTGACCTCTACTACAATGCGGGTAAGGCAGCATATATTAGTATTCAGCACTGAGATTGCTACCTCTGTGTTTGGAACAGGAGCTTGACCTGGGGCTATAGAGAGAAACTGCTGACTCAAACCAGTGGGACAGTTACCCTTTTGTGTCACTGGGACCAGCACTGATGCATGCTCACCCTGGGGATGGGCTTGTCCTTTTTAGGATGTTAATGATGGATTGGGTACTGTATATCCATGATCTTACAAAGTGTTACAGGTCTTCAGAAATATCAGTAGGCCTATCTCAGAGTGCTAATCAACCATGACAACTGATTTGAATAAAGGTGGCCCAGCCTTGTTCTTCAAACCTATTTCTTGTGTCCACAGCTTGTTCGCTTTGCAAACACAAACCTTTTGTCATCCCTGTTAAATTCACAGCTATGGGATTTGATGCTGAATTTTGTTCTGCCTGATGAGTTAGTTCTGTAATGGAATTTTTACTGCAGATCTTGATGAAAGACTTCAGTTGAGCCACATCAAACTTGTAGGTTCCTTAGCAGAGGCAATCATTCCATGACTTTCAGCTAATCTGTTTGTATGATTTTTGCCGTCGTGTATCCAGTGAAGCATGTGAATCTTGTCTGTAAATATTTTTAGTTCCTCATATGAAAAAGTTTTATGACTTGACAATTTGAAGAAGTTAAAGAAATGCCAAAATTATTCTTAAGAAGTCATGTTCTTATTTGAGATTAACCCTACTATATTTTCTAAAGAAAAAAAGACATTTCTCATCATTTTACTTAATCCTACTAGTACGGCATAATGGCACAGTTCTGTGGGATCTCAAGTGGAATTGGCTCTGTCTCTCTCTTTCTGTAAAGATTTTATAGTTATTGAGAAAATAGAAGTTGCCATACTGGATTAAGGCCCTGATGTATCTAGTCCAATATTGCCAGCTGTTTCAGAGGAAGGTTCAAAAAAAACTCTGCAGGAGAAAATCATGAAATAATTTGCCCACCGGATAAATGTCTTCATAACTCTTCATAACTAGGAGTTTGCTTATGCTCTCAAACTTGTGGTTTTGTATCCTTTTCAAACTCCTGGATGACTGTGTGCATTGATTTTGTTTTTAATTGCTGGGTTTGAGTCTGTGGGTTTTTATTTTCCACATAAGTGTCCAGTCCTTTGCTATGAAGCATGAGTCACAAAACTCTGTCACTCTGGATGAATTTGCAGGAATAGTAATAAGAAAAACAAAACCACTAAAACCCATAAGCTTTACTTGTAGTTGCTGTGAGAAAATAATTGTGCAAGATCTCAGTAGCATTTCGAAAATTATTCTCGAAAGGTATCGGAACTTAAGGATTCTTTTTCTTCTACTTTTGATTACATATGTCAGCCATAGCAACTTGCTTTTTTTAGTGGTATGTTTTTCCCTTTTTGAATCCTATAGCTTTATCTTGCTCTACTAGGCCTATGAGGTTAGTAGTATAAGCCATGTGTTGTATGGTACCAGGGTCTTTTATTACATCGTCTCCTTCAGGCTTCCTAAGGTAAAGACGTGCCAGCGTGCCTGTTGTAGTCTCCCCCTTACAGGTCTTAATAATAAACGTTTGTTTATTTCACAGGGCCATTTCTTTTCCCAACAGTGTGAGCTAGAGATGGAGTGGCACCCGTAACACTGAGTTTCCTGGCTTTTAATCATTTGTGTTACAGGCTTAGTGTTATTTGAACAAAGATTATTTTTGTGTTGGAATTGATATTTGACTGGGAAGGAGAGGCAGATTTCCAATGATATGTTCTGCAGATGTTTGAAAAGTGCTTTTGTTTTTTAAAGGTATGAGAGTAGGTGATTATATTCAAAATACAGATTCACTTCTCAGGTTCCTTCTGACAGGTACCAGTAATGGTGTGCTTCTGAAGTCTGCTAGATTTATACTTTTGAGATGTGGCCAGAGGGGACATAATATTCCTTTGAAAAGGCTACAGATTATTGTACCAATTGGAGTAGGCATCTGGAGGCTCTGAAGGACAGAGAATTACTTAGTCAGAAATTAAGAAAAATACAAATCTTCATGCAGTCAGAAATTAAATGCTTGTATTTCAATTTGATAATTTTAGAAGTGACCTGCACTGATGGCTGAAGCTCAGTACAAGTCCCACCTCAGCCATAATAGTTCTTGAGTTCACTGATGGCAAGATGAGTTCCTTATTGCAATGATATACCAACATCTCTTGCATAGTAATTTAAACCTACGTGAAAAACTTGGTAGAATCTCTGAAGTTACCTTTATGAGCTCAGTGTCTCTCTTATTCCGAAAGTACATAACCCTAATTTATGTTGAAATGTACATAACAACAGATGTCTTTTAACTGTGTAATCGTATTATATGTAGCTGATGCTATCCATGTGCTTTCATTTTCCTATAAATTCACGTGAGCCATAACTCTGAGTGTTATGGTTTGAATGTTAGCACTCTTGAAGACATTTAAGTAGTGGTTGCTCTAGCCTCAGAGTTAAAATGTAGTGCTTGCTTTATTAATGTAAAGATAGAGGTTATTTTTAAGTCTCTCTGCTTTCAAATAAGTTTTAACCAAATCTGACTGTTTAAAATACATAGTCACTTAAATTGATTTTGATTTGGAGTGCTGCAGGTATAAAAGTGCTAATGTTCTCCCTCATTTCTTTTCTGTGAAAAATACAGAATAGGTAGTGAGATAGGAAGACTTGACACAAGTGTTAATAATAGCTGTTTCAACTTTCCTTCCTCTTCTTTGGTCATTTTACATCCATATGATATCACAGAGCACTCATGTCTTGCTGAACATGCTGAAAGACAGTAATATCGATCTGTGCCAGAATGCTTGTCAAGTAATACTCTTTCACATACTGTATACACATGTATACAATTAGAATATGGCCATGTACAGCTATCTTATGCTGCTAAAAAGTAGTCTGATCATGGCTAGTATTTTTCATTTACAATCTGTTGTGTTGTATTCAGTCACTTTCCCGTGAGGTATTATCTTCTAAATGAATCTCTGTAGCACCTCATCAAATGTCTGTTAGAAATCTAGATGTGTCAATTCTATTCCTTTTATCATTTGTCACTATATTATCTTCAAAAAACATCAGGTAAATTCATAAAGCACGGGGAGATTTGTTTGAATGCCTGAGTCGTCATCTCTAAGCCCTTGTGTCTGTAAGTAACTTTCCACTACTTCCTGCACAGGCAGTTTTAGTAGTTTTGAAACCACAGAGGTTAAGCTAAGTGGCCTGTGACTCCTAGGATCTTATCTCTCTTTCTTTAAAGTGGAATGGCATTTGTAACTTCCTAATCATTAGGAATCTCTCTCTCTCATCTGTTAAACTATTAAAGTATCAGTCTGTATGTACCTGTTTCTGCCCTGTTTTTATTGGGATGCTTTCTGCACTGCAAGTCTGGGATTGTTTTCATACAGTAGTGGAGACAAACTGATGTAGGGCCTGTTTTAATGAAGTAGCTTGTTTTATCTGATTAGAGCCTAATACTAATTACCAAGTAAGAACTGTGCCCTTAAAATTAACAAGAAATGTGTTTTGTGAATGGGAACAGGAAAGAGTTAAGCTGGGCTCTCATTCAGCTGGGGTCAGTTCACTGACTTTACTTCAAAGACACTGTGGATTTACACTGATGTAACAGAGGGAAAATGTTAGTCCCTGATTTTCTTCTCTTCCTTATAAAGCAAGCAGAGACTGTGAAGCCTTTAAGGAATACTACTGGCTTTACAAATGTCTGCATCTTCATATGCCAGTTTTTTAATATAAAGGAAGTAAAAGAAACTGTAACTTATGTTCTTGAGAGGATATCATGTGAAAAGACCACTGTTTTAGGAAATAGCTAGAACACATTAAAATATGGGGGAGATGAAAGAAATAGGTTTGAAGTTGCTTTCCTGTTTTTCTTAACCAGTTTTAAGAGATACAGTGATAAAGGGTAGAGTCTGAACAATTAAGACCTTTGCAGCTTTTCTACTTTTATGTTCCTGGCCCAGATTAATGTTTGACCCTCCTCATTACTTTTTTCTGGTCTCACTTTCATGATGGGGCAGACAAGATGGGTCTTGATATAACCTTTACAGACCTGAGGCAGAAAGGGTAAGAGAATATATCTGAGGTACAGCTTTTTTCAGGGCAGTAGGCTGAGCTACATGGAGTCCCAGTAAGATTTTTTTGTAATTGAAGTTGCTGGTTTTCAGTTATTATTGGTGCTTGACACTCTTCCCAGAAATACTGCAAGTTGCTAATGAATTCCTAAGACAAACCAGCACAGGTTGTGTTGCCCACTTGCCCTGAAGTCATGCTCCTTCGTACAGTCACTGTGTATCTTTCTCGGTTTTATAGATGGCCTAATAGCCCCTGATGGAGCGGTGAGTCCAGATTTCTTCAGTGATTACCATCTTCAGAATGGAGACCTTGTCGGGCAGCATCCCTTCTCTAGCAGGTAAATTGTTGTTTGTAAAGAGTGCATATAATCCAACACAAGCTATTCAAGTTTCTTTATAGGGCTTCATTGGTGGTGTTCAACAGTTTCTGCCTTCATAGCAGTGGGAATGGTTTGCACTAAAAAAGCAGTTCTAGTCTGTCTTCTGAATTACATGTTTCTTTTAACGTATTAACATATGTGTTGTAATACATCATAGCTTTCCAAAAGCTGTAGAATAGAAAAGTAAAACTAGAACACACAATTAACTACATATTATGACAATTACTCAAATACTATTCAGACGTTGTTGGGAAATATCTAAAGAGAGGCTTGAGATGCTGATTACCTAGAAGACTTCTGTTTCCAATATTCTTAAATTGTTAAAAATAAGTTTCTCAGCTACCAAAACTATTTCTGTGGGTTTGGTTTTTTTGTTTGTTTTTTTCCCCCCTTTAACCTAAGTCTTCCCAAGGTATTCTCAGTTAGAATACCAATGGCACTTACTTTGAAAATTTGCTAGATGAGCAAAAGATGTCGGCTTGACTTTTGGGAGATGTTTCTGTGAATTCCCCCTCTGGTCAATGACCTCTTCTTCTCTGAATGTTAGCAAGCTGTTCCAGTTTGAATTTCTGAGTAGACTTCTCCCATGAGTTCAAAATAGAAAAGACTCATTTCAAAGAATAAAATCTTCATAGATCCTGTAGTGTGTAGGAAATGCCTTTTATAGAGCATGAATTATGTGCACTCACTAGCAGGAAATACTTCAAACACTTTACAGTCAAGGTACAGAAATCTCTTTAACAGGATGCTATCGGGACATGCCCAGCCCTGTGGTTGAAGTTGTTTCTTTCCAAAGCAAGAATGTTATTTTCACCACTTACAACTTTAGTCACCATTTGTAAAATATGAGTAATTCACAGTATGTACAGCTGAAGCAAAAAAGATTTTTCTCCCTTACTTTGGCTTCTTTTAATTGTTAAAAGGCAGTGGACAGTTACACTTGTTTGTTTATTCTACCTGTGAATAAACAGGAAGCTGAATATTGAGCAAGGATGGAATGGTGGTAACGTTTTTAAGAACAAAATAACTAAAATGCTCAGATCAGGAAAAAAAAAGTAGGACTTAAGAGATAGATCCTCTTGAAAAAAGGAAGTGTTTATACTCTGAAAGTATCAAGTTCAGACTAGTGCGTAACCCTTTGCATAGAGCTTATGTTTGGGAAGGGGATACTGGCACTGATAGTTTCCAAATGCGTAACCTTCATTTCAGAGCATGCAGGTGATAGAGAAACCAGGGGAAGTATGAGCTATATGCTACTTTGGAGTCTTACTATGTGACTTAACCATTTTCAACTTTAAAATAGATACACAACCCAGGAGATGACAGATTTCTGTATTAACCAGAACATTGGGTATGTGGTATGTGGTCCCAACAGTCTTCTTTCCCCCCTGGACGTGGGGGGAAAGGTGTATAGGGTGAAGCTTGCAGAATCCTTTTTTTCCAGTAAACTTAGATATAGCCCCAGTCAAGATGCTCTTGTTTTGCCAGAAAGCTTTCAGCTGGGAAAAAAAAATAATCTTGAGTGTCCTTGGGTAAAAGTTAAAGTAGATCACTCAACCTCAAATTTCAATCCTTTATCAGGCAGCTACGTTAGTAAGCTGCTCTTTAATCTGATTGTATTCCAACTAAAGTGAGTAGCAAAATACATCTGGTGTATACTAGTTAAATTAAGTATTCATAGAATTTTCTTGTAATGTCTCAAGGCATTTTGGAGGCTCACCTCAAGAAAGAAAACAGAAAAACTGCAGTTTGGCTAACGACAAACTTGGTAATTGCCTGTTGACGACAGCCTCTGTAAATATTCAGATGTCTCATTAGAATTCTGTTTTCTAGGAAGACTTTTTTTGATATGATTGCTCCATGGATTTATCTGCAGTCCAGACACACAGTCTAATTGGAAACAGTGTGGACTGCTGCAAATGTTCTGTCCTACTTGTAACAGAGCAAGACTGAATTGTTTGATAGAATAGATACTGGCAGTCGAACGACGAATCGTAGTTTTCAGATGTGTGTCATTATCGTTTTGAACTTCTTGGCGCCAGAAGCCAGGATTTCCTGATGCTTAGAGCTAATGTAAAATGCATTAGTGCTCCAAGGCATGAGCCATGGAATTACCAGTCCCATGAGTTTGGAGAGTCAGACCCTCCCTTTTCCCAAATTTGAATTGGTGTTGGAAGGTAAAACCATACGTGCTACAGAGCCTAATTAAAAATAATAGCAGCAAGTCAAGGCTCTTTTTATGTGTTATATAGTGTACATTTCATCCATACCAAAACATAATTCTAGGGTATTTTTATGCTTACAGTTTAAAGCTAACAAGAACCTTATGTCAAGGATTTATTTTTAACCAGTTCCAGCTTTTAATAAATCAAGATTTTTGTTATAAAAATGATCCATTTTTCTATTATTAATATTTGAATATGTTTTCAGAAATTTTTTTTAAAGAAAGCTGAGTTATGATTTGCATAGACAACTAGCAAGTCAGACAACTAACATTTTTTGTAGTTCAAAGAGAGATGATCTAATAATGAGTAGATGCATATTTTTGGTCTTTTCATTTGTTACACTTTTTTTATTTGTAATACGTTTGTTGTGCCTGTCTTCTGGCCTTGGCCTTTTATATTAGGCTTTTTAATTCTGTAATAGAAACAGTTGTTTGCTAAGCAATGGGGTGAGTTCTGAAGGAGTCTTGTCCATCATTTAAGACCACCCTGTGAATTTTGAGGTAGGTGACAACCATGAGCTGACTTCTTGCTACTTAACTTTGAATAATCTAATCCTGTCTTCTCCTTTCTGCATTCCTATGAGGAAGACTTGGGATATGTTACCTATTCAATTTTTCTGAGGTTATTTCCTATCCCTGTGATGTGCTCAGACTGGATCAGGACTTCCCCTTGCCTCCAGGAGAGCCTAACGAGTCAGCCAGAAAGACTTACCTTTTTAGTGCCTGTATGTCACTGAGAAGCTGAGCTAGTGTTGAACTACTGTTGGTGCCCCCAGTGCGTTACCAGGGCTTAAGTGTGTTGTGATCACCAACTGTGTTTTGGAGCCAAAGAAATGGGTCTATGAGGTAAGGTTTTCAAGGACTGCAACCAAACTCAAGTTCCCTTGAATATTTTCACTGTAAGCAGTATTTCATAACAGCTGTGTGAGGGAGCTCAGCCCGCACCAGCTGCTGTGTATCAGATTGTTACACCAGTTACACTGCATTGAGCAGAGAGTGAAAACCATGTGCTTCATTGGTTGTAGGATGCTAGTTCTAGCAGAGGTCCAGGGCACCCTCTGCCATTGCAGTTCCACCATGTTACATTCAGGAAAATTCAGGGGAATTGGAGCAGCAGCTGTATCCGGATGCACAGTCAGTGAAGTGGTTGACTTCTCTGTAACCCAGCAGGGATATCACAACCATCTCCTGTGGAGTCCCTGTCCCAGGAGACACTGGACCTACATACCTAGACCTGCTGCATAGTCTTAGGTGGGTAGGGAAGTCCTTTTTTGAAATGAAGAGTAAAACAGGAGTTTAAAAAAATTAAGGTATTTATAGGTACCTGCGCTCACTGCATTAGCACATAGGGTGTCGTCCCCCCCCCCCAGTTTTTTAAGAGGGAGACATAAAGTAATAGTATTAGCAGTAAGAACATCAATAGATCTGGTGAATTAGGTGGAGTATCTTAGGGGCTGCATTTTTCAAAGATATTGCCATCCCTTCACAGGGTTTCTTGGACTTTCCTTTGAAACCTAGAGTACTGACTACTGTCAAGAGTTGAGAATGCTACCTTGCATGATCAATTCCTGCATCATGAAGTACAAAACAACTTTGAAGGGAATTGTAGAAGTATCTAGCCCTGAATTCAGTTTGTAGATTTGCTTACATGCTTGCTATTCTGGACATATCCTGAAGCAAGCAGGGATAATTGTTGTTTCTGGTACGTGTCAGCATAAAGGAGAAGCAGCACATAAGTGAAGACCTGGAAAGTTGCCATTTTTCTAATAGTGCCACCCTCACTTCAGCGACCCAAAGCATTGTTAGAAATAGAAATACTTTGTTTCCGGTAATCTAGCTTGTGTGTTTTGCAGCTTTAGTTTACAGCAATTATTTCTGAAGTATATTCTTAGTGGAGTTGTGCTGTTGTGTATGATGTCTATAAATAGAATTATTTCAGAATATAATGTACACAGAAGCAGTTATAAAGTACATAAACAGCATCTCTTGTTTTCCTCAAAGGTTTGGAGCAGCATGCAAACAGATCGTAAGGTATGTTTTCCATTCAGCAGAAAATACATGACTGAGAAGGTTGTTTTGACAGCTTGTATCCAGGTTTTTTTCATTGGCTAGGAAAAGACTTTTGCGATTACCAGCTTTGAATCATCTTACTGTCTTTCAGAAGCAGATGGGCATTAGGCATAGATTTGAAATTTTCATCTGTTATTAAAATCTGTATTCAAGGCTCCTGGTTCTGATAACTCTTAATGTAGAGTGAAAGTTTTATGATTGTAGCAAACAAAAAAATCCCTCACCTTCAGCTGATGTGATGACAGCTTAGTGTCTGAGCTGCAAGGGATAAAGACCAGCTGAAAGACATCTTCAAGAATCTATGGTCATTTATCAAATTTTAATCACCTTCTGGAGGCTAATTACTTTCTTAAGACACAAACATAATAGTGATGGCTAAATATAATAGAGACATCCACAGCATTTTTCTTACCCTTTGGGGAAGAGGCCACTTTTTAACCTTTCCCAGCTATAACTAGATGATGGTACAAACTTTAAGTGCAAAAGCTGATGTTTTTTTGTTAAGATCTTCATGAGAGTTCCCAAATCCTCTCTGTCTGTAGCTTTAGAAAGATTAATAGTTAGGAATGCTAGAGCTAGCCAAAACTTTTTTTTCTTCCCAAGGAAGTTTTCTCCAGTACAGAATGCTTTAACCTCATTATAAAATGTAGCAGAGCTGCCATTG